TCACTGCCGGCCAGGTGCAGTGGCTCATGCCTGCAATCCTAGCAATTTGGGAGGCCAACGTGTGTGGATCACTTGAGGTCATGAGTTTGACACCAGCCTGGCCAACACGGTGAAACTGTACTAAAAACACAAAATTTACCCAGGCATAGTGGTACACACCTGTAATCCCAGCTACTCAGGAGACTGAGGCGGGAGAATTGCTTGAACCTGGGAGGTTGCAGTGAGCCGAGATTGCACCACTGCACTTTAGCCTGTGGAACAGAGCAGGACCTTGTCTTTTTAAAAAAAAAAGGCGGCCAGGCACGGTGGCTCACGCCTGTAATCCCAGCACTTTGGGAGGCCGAGGCGGGTGGATCACGAGGTCAAGAGATCGAGACCATCCTGGTCAACATGGTGAAACCCCGTCTCTACTAAAAAAAAAAATACAAAAAATCAGTTGGGCGTGGTGGCGTGTGCCTGTAATCCCAGCTACTCAGGAGGCTGAGGCAGGAGAATTGCCTGAACCCAGGAGGCGGAGGTTGCGGTGAGCCGAGATGGCGCCATTGCACTCCAGCCTGGGTAACAAGAGCGAAACTCAGTCAAAAAAAAAAAAAAAAAGAAAAAAGAAAAAAAAGCTGGACACGGTGGCTCACGCCTATAATCCCAGCACAGCACTTTGGAAGGCAAGGCAGAAAGATCACAAGTTAGGGAGATCAATACCATCCTGGCCAACATGATAAAATCCCATGTCCACTAAAAATACAAAAAAAAAAAAATTAGTTGGGCGTGGTAGTGCACGCCTGTAGTCTCCCCTATCGGGAGGCTAAGGCAGAAGAATTGCTTGAACCCAGGAGGCGGAGATTGCAGTGAGCCAAGATCATGCCCCTTCACTACAGCCTGGATGACAATGTGAGACTCTGTCTCAAAAAAAAAAAAAAAAAAAAAAAGGGCCGGGCTCGATGGCTCATGCCTGTAATCCTAGCACTTTGGGACGCCGAGGCAGGTGGATCACGAGGTCAGGAGATCGAGACCATCCTGGTCAACCTGGTGAAACCCCGTCTCTACTAAAAATACAAAAAATTAGCTGGGCATGGTGGCATGTGCCTGTAATCCCAGCTACTCAGGAGGCTGAGGCAGGAGAATTGCCTGAACCCAGGAGGCGGAGGTTGCGGTGAGCCGAGATTGCGCCATTGCACTCCAGCCTGGGTAACAAGAGCGAAACTCTGTCTCAAAAAAAAAAAAAAAAAAAAAAAAGCCAGATTCAAAAGGATGATTAAAGGGGCTTACTTATGTGAAGAGAATATAAATGAGATGAGGGGTTGGGGGCAGGTAGGAATGGAAAGTTACTGCCCACTAGATACAACATTTATTTGGAATGATGAAAAAGCTCTAAAACCAGAGCTGATGGTTATACATTTTGAATGTATTTAATACCACTGAATTGTACACTTAAAATCAGTTAAAATAACTGGGTACATAGTTTGTATGGGATGATGAAAAAGTTCTGAAGATGGATAGTGGTGACATTTGCAACACAATGTGAATATACTGAATGTCATTGAACTATATACTTAAAAATGGCTAAAATGAGGCCAAAGTGGTGGCTCACTTCTGTAATCCCAGTACTTTGGGAGGCCAAGGAGGACAGATCACTTGAGTCCAGGAGTTCAAGACCAGCCTTGGCATCATAGCAAGATCCCTGTCTCTACAAAAAAAAATTTTTAATTAGCTGGGTGTAATCGTGCACACCTGTAGTCCCAGCTACTAGGGAGGCTAAGACAGGAGGACTGTTTGTGCCTGGGAGATTGAGGCTGCAGTGAGCCGTGATTGTGCCACTACATCCCAGCCTGGGTGACAGAGTGAGACCCTGTCTCAAAAAAGAAACAAAAAAAAGGGCTAAAATGGTAAATTGTATGTGGTATTTTACCACACTAAAAAATTACCCAGAGAAAAGTCATACCCTTTTCAACAGAGAAAAATTTTAGGCCTACACCAGTGTTTCTTAACAGTGGCTGACATTTGGGCTGGATCATTCTTTGTTTGGGGGAACTGTGCTGTGCAGGGATGTTTAGCAGCATGCCCGGCCTTGACATGACAACAGCTCCCCAGGTACTCCAGAAATTGCCAAATGTCCCATGGGGGAGGGGCCACATTCAGAGAACCACTGGCCTGTACTCACTTGCTGACTCTGAGAATGTTGTTTGAAACTTGGCTCTGTCCTGTCCTTCAACTGGGCCCACAGTCTCCAGTGGACATGGGAATTTTGTTGGTTTCAACATGTCACGTGGATGGATACTGTTCAAACCTATGTGAATTTAGTTTCTCCTATTTATTTAGGTTACCATGTGAATGTAGTTTCTCCTATGTTGCCCCCAGTATAATGATAGAAACTTCTGGAGAAGTTATTTCAGCATGAAGCTTCTTTCTCCATTTTTGTTGTTGTTGTTGTTGTTGTTGTTGTTGTTTTGAGACCGAGTCTCACTCTGTTGCCCAGGCCGGAGCGCAGTGGCATGCTCTTGGTTCACTGCAACCTCCACATCCCAGGTTCAAGTGATTCTCATGCCTCAGCCTGCCAAGTAGCTGGGACTACAGGTTCATGCCACCACACCCAGCTAATTTTTGTGTTTTTGTAGAGATGGTGTTTCACCACATTGCCCAGGCTGCTATCCAACTCCTGAGCTCAAGTGATCTACCTGCCTCGGCCTTCCAAAATGCTGAGATCACAGGCATGAGCCACCGCGCCTGGCATTTCTCCATGTTTGACTGAGGTTATCTCCATCCATCTTTTCTCTTGCCTGGAAATGTGGTGGAATCAAACAAGTTCAACAATGGTTTAACAAAATTCTTTAATAAAATTTATAAAAATTCATCTTTGAGAATAATTTTCAGCATTTTCCTTTTCCACCCCCAAAGAAAATATCAGTACCCACACACATACAAACTCAAGACTACAGTGACATTCTCTACATACAACTATATTCGATACAGCTTGAACTGCAGAAAAATTAAGACAATTCCAAAAAGTGATTGCAGGGTTGATTTTTTTTCTCCAGAACACTTGAGAAACAGTAAAGCTGTTTCAACAAGTCTTTCCTTTGATTGTCAAAAGTGGAAACTCACATTTAAATTAAAAAAAGATCCAATTCAAGATCTTTACCCCCATCCCCCATCCCTCGATTAATCCCCTTTAGGGCCACATTTTCTTCTTGCTCCTAAGAAAAACAATTGGAATTTTAGATATTCCCAGTTTTCTATGCACATTTGGAATTGAGCAAATGTGTTCAATCAGCCAGCATTTTCTGTAGACATCATCAAAAGCAGGCACTTGGGGATTCTGGGCTTTGAGTACAAAGCACGGATCCTATGTCAGAAACACCTGTTGAGATTCCTCCATTCCCTCCAGAATTTTCAGAAATGAAGTAGACCTACCTCAGTCATCCTCAGCATCAGTTTATTAAATTGACAGGCTCAATGACAAGCTTTCCTGCCATCTCCATGCCCACTTTTCATAGTTTCACTCTGTCTTTGGCTACTGCACTTCAGGCACTATTCTAAGTCTGGGAGTATATTACTCTTGTTTCAGTGCTAAATAAACATTGATGAACACATCAGAACAAGTCACTGGATAGATGCCCATTGCAAGTAACGTACTCAGGAGATGAAAGAGGGAAGTCATCAAAGATCTTGAGTAGACAATACCCAGTCAAGATGTGGCCAGATGAAGACACAAGCTTCTTATCCTAAAAGGGCCCAGTAATTTCTGCATTGCAGAACTCCTATCTTGGGCAAAGCAACTGAATTCAGGAGTGAGAGTAGATACTAAAACATGGAGGCTGGGCACAGCAGCTCAAGCCTGCAATCCCAGCACTTTGGGAGGCCAAGGTGGGAGGATTGCTTGAGGCCAGGAGTTCAAGACCAGCGTGGACAACATGGCAAAACCCCATCTGTACAACAAATAAAGAGGAGGCTGGTGGGAGAATTGATTGAGCACCAGAGTTTGAGGTTACAGTGAGCTATGATCACATTACTGCATCCCAGGCCTTGGTGACAGAGCGAAACTCTGTCTCTTAAAAAACATCAGGATGCCGGGCGCGGTGGCTCAAGCCTGTAATCCCAGCACTTTGGGAGGCCAAGGCGGGTGGATCACGAAGTCAAGAGATCGAGACCATCCTGGTTAACATGGTGAAACCCCATCTCTACTAAAAAAAAAATACAAAAAATTAGCTGGGCGTGGTGGCGCATGCCTGTAATCCCAGCTACTCAGGAGGCTGAGGCAGGAGAATTGCCTGAACCCAGGAGGCGGAGGTTGCGGTGAGCCAAGATCATGCCATTGCACTCCAGCCTGGGTAACAAGAGCAAAACTCCGTCTCAAAAAAAAAAAAAAAAAAAAACACATCAGGGAGGGCCAGGTGCAGTGGCTTAAACGTGTAATCTCATCACTTTGGGAGGCCAAGGTGGGCAGATCACAATGTCAGGAGTTTGAGACCAGCCTGACTAACATGCTGAAACCCTGTTTCTACTAAAAACACTAAAATTAGCTGGGTGTGGTGGTGCATATCTGTAATCCCAGCTACTCAGGAGGCTGAGGCAGGAGAATCGCTTGAATCCAGGGGGCAGAAATTGCAGTGAGCTGAGATCATGCCACTGCACTCCAACCTGGGTGACACAGCGAGACTCTATCTCAAAAAAACAAAAATGGCAGGGATTTGGGAGCTGGGCAGGTGCAATGGGTCATGCCTCTAATCCCAATACTCTGGGGGGCCACCATGGGAGGATCACTTGAGCCAGGAATTTAAGACCAGCCTGAGTAACATAGGGAGACCCCATCTCAAATATTAAAAAAATTAGTCATGCATAGTAGTGCATGCCTGTGGTCCCAGATGCTTGGGAGACCGAGTTGGGAGGATTACTTGAACCTGGGAGGTCAAGTCTGCAGTGAGCTGTGATTGCACCACTGTACTCCAAGCCGGCTGATAGAAGGAGACCCTGTTTAAAAAAAAAAAAAAGGCAGGGGGACTTTGTAGCAATGAGCGGAAGCACACAAATTAAAAAAAAGAATTATATACACAAAACCACAGAACTAGAATAGCTGACTTTTCCCCTTCTTTTCAAAAGTGAGACAAAATTCCTTAAGAAAATCTGCAAGGTGCTAGGTGAACCTTCTGACACTAAAGTTGTTCTTCTGGAATATTAAAATTTGGGTATCTTTTGGACATCACCACCATGTAAAGAGAGATGGGGGGGAAAAAAGCTTCTAGGAGTAAGTCAAAACTTTCCTAAGACACACCGATGAGAGCTATAAAGTGGAAATTCTAACTATACTAACTGCATCACTGACCAGTCTTTTTTTCTCCCAGAAACTCATCTCAAGAGAAGGGCACTGAAAAACCACCAGCAACATGATTTCTGCATTTCCCAGCGCACGGGTCTAGGGCCCGTCTCTCTCGAGTCCCCTAGTCATCCTCGCCGCCTCCGTACATGTCTGCCAGCTTCTTGAAGCGATTGCCCCATTCGTTCAAGTAGTCATAGTCCTGGTCTTTGACTCCGAGGAGTTCAGGGAGCTCAGACTAGCAGCTTCGGAACCACTTCCTTCATAGTCAAACACGAGCAGAGAATCATAAGGTGGGGCCGTGGGGTCACTATCAGCCGCCTTCAGATTCTAAATCAGAAAGGGGACAACAGGATCTTTTAGTGAAAGGAAGGGCACACCTGTCATCTGGGACAAAAAGTCTAGCACCATGTAGGGTATGACAATATACCCAGACTGTGGCACACCACAGAGCAGTGAACACCGACAAAGTACATTTATACATGCTGGCACGGCAAGACGCACAGGATATGTTGTTGATGGAAAGAGAAAGTGAAATGATAAGTTATATGTAGGCAGGAGAGATACAAGCACCAATCAGTCAGCATGGAGTCCCCACAAATAAGGGTGGGGCTTCCACACCACCAGCTGGGATGGGCAGAGCTGGAAACTTTGGAGATAGTCATATTGGTACATGCAGGCTGCATTTCAGCCCAGAAAGGGCTGGAGGGATGAATGCCAAACACTTAACAGTTAAATCTGGGGAGTGAGGGTATGGGAACTAAGAAAGAGATGAAGTTTCACTCTTGTGGCTCAGGCTGGAGTGCAATGGTGTGATCTCGGCTCACTGAAACCTCCGCCTCCCAGGTTTAAGTGATTCTCCTGCCTCAGCCTCCTGTGTTGCTGGGACTACAGGTGTGCGTCACCATGCCCAGCTAATTTTTGTATTTTTAGTAGAGATGGGGTTTCACCATGTTGGCCAGGCTTGTCTTGAATTCCTGACCTCAGGCAATCCACCCGCCTTGGCCTCCCAAAGTGCTGGGATTACAGGCGTGAGTCACCGTGCCTAGCCTTTTTTTTTCTTTATATATTTTCATTTTATGAAATAAATAAAATATATTTATTTTGAGACAGAGGTCTCAGATTCTTGCTCTGTCACCCAGGCTGGAGTACAATGGCACGATCTAGGCTCACTGCAAGCTCCACCTCCTGGGTTCAAGCAGTTCTCCTGCCTCAGCCTCCCAAGTAGCTGGGATAACAGGTGTACACTCCCATACCATAATTTATATTTTTAAAATAGCAAGCACACTTAAAAAAAAATTCTGAGGTTTAGTGTTACATGTGAAACCTTGTTATACAGGTAGCAAATGGTAAACTCGCTGTGGGAGTTTGGTGTACAGATTATTTTATCAACCAGGTATTAAGCCTAGTACCCAATATTTTCTGTAAAACATAACTACGATGAAATAACCTGTACACTAAACACCTCCTCCCACACCCCTCCCTCAAGTAGATCCCAGTGTCAGTTGTTCCCTTCTTTGTATCCATGAGTTCTTGTCATTCAGCTCCCACATTTAAGTGAGAACATGTGGTATTTGGTTTTCTGTTCCTGTGTTAGTTTGCTAAGGATACTATTTTTATTTTTTTTATTTTTTTTTTTTATTTTTTTTTTATTTTTTTTTTTTTTTGAGACGGAGTTTCGCTCTTGTTAACCCAGGCTGGAGTGCAATGGCACGATCTCGGCTCACCGCAACCTCCGCCTCCTGGGTTCAGGCAATTCTCCTGTCTCAGCCTCCTGAGTAGCTGGGATTACAGGCACACGCCACCATGCCCAGCTAATTTTTTGTATTTTTAGTAGAGACGGGGTTTCACCATGTTGACCAGGCTGGTCTCGATCTCTTGACCTCGTGATCCACCCGCCTCGGCCTCCCAAAGTGCTGGGATTACAGGCTTGAGCCACCGCGCCCGGCTACTATTTTTATAATTTAAATAAAAACTACAAATACAAGTGATGACTTGCAAATGAATGTGAATGGAGGAAAGGCCCGAATCCAGATGTATCTAAAATGGGTCGGTAGCCAGGTACAGTGGCTCACACCCATAATCCCAGCACTTTGGAAGGCCGAAGCAGGCAGATCACCTGAGGTTGGGAGTTTGAGATCAGCCTAGCTAACATGATGAAATCCTGTCTGTACTAAAAATACAAAAATTAATTGGGCGTGCCTGTAATCCCAGCTTCTTGGGAGGCTGAGGCAGGAGAATTGCTTGAATCTGGGAGTCGGAGGTTGCAGTGAGCCAAGATCACACCACTGCACTCCATCCTGGGCAACAAGAGTAAAATTGTCTCAAAAAAATGAAAATAAAAATAAATAAATAAATAAATACAAGAGGTGGTTAAACTGATTACTGTTTTCTCCAGTGGCTAAAATGAATGTGGCTTGGTCACTTCTAACACTGCAGTGCCTCATAATCCTCATTGACAACTCCTACAGGAAGCTAAAGCAAACACAGACTTTACCAGAGAGACTCACCAAGGGCCACTGGACCATCAGACAAGCCCCAAAACCATTCCAGTAACCAGGCAAGTTATTAGAGAACATAGCTTAAGGAAACAGACCCTACAGACCCTACCAAACTATTTCTTTACTGGGTTCTTTCTCATCTTACCCTAAGCTAATTCATTTAATGCCTTATTATTTTCCCTTGCAAGTAGGCACAGCCTTCTGATAGTTCTGGCCAATAACTGGTTGGATAACTCCCTTGTTGTGTAAGAAGATGGTTTGCTAGAAGACAGGCTTTTGCCCTCTGCTTTGCTCTTCATACTGTTTCTTGCTGGAATACAGACCTAAGGTCTGGAAGTGTGACAGCCATCTGTGATCATGAGGCAACAAGCCTGAGAACTAGGGTCTACATGCTAAAATGACGAAGCAGAAACATGGAACAGCCTGATCCACTAGCCTAGACTGCTCACCCCAGCTTACTATTTGTACAAGGTAAATCTACTCCCATCTGTTTCAGCTTCTTGTATTTAGAGCTGAATGCATTTCTGACATATAAAATACAGATTCTGTTTTTCTAATCCGCAGGTAGACTTGTGATATACATTTATCATTATATCCCAACCAGCAGTGGGAGGCAAGGGAGGTAAATTCCATTCGGGAAACTAAAATGAAATTTACTTAGAATGTCCCTAGCCTAATTTCTAGATCTACTAAATCTTTTCAGGCAATTCTTGGTTTTGCCACACGGACCTTGCAATTTGAAACACTATTACATCAGAAATTCAGGTGAGAGACAGATTAAGGAAAGCAGGGCTCAGGGAAGCTGAAAACTTAGTAAAGAATCTAAAGACTCTTTTTCTCATTTTTGACACAACTCCTCCCTTTTGAGCTTAAAGATGAGCCATGCTTTGATTTTTCACATGAATTACTTACTTCATCAATAAAATTTCCAATTTCATCGGGATTGGCAGGGCGGGGAAGGTACCGGGGAACGCTCATGAGGGTTGGCGCGACATCGTTACGAGTCACTTCAGGTCGAGCGTCCAGGCCCCTGTGCAACTGGCTCAAGTCAAAGTCCTTTGGAGAAAAAGGAGTACAATGAAGAGTAAGAAAGAAACAGTCATATGCACAGGGCTAAGTCTGGTTTACAGATTACAATATTGGATGATGTCTTCACTGCCAACTGTATGATCTTTACCAGTTTAATGCAAAAGGACAGTTTTTAAGCTAAAAGTTTCCCAAATAGCACTGGAAAAAAATATAGGTGAAAGAAATATGCTTAGCATGTGTGGATCTAGATATAGTTTGTGTGCCTTACTAATTTTCATAGGACATGACGATGAGATCATTATTTGGCAAATATGCACTCCCTCCCAACCCTAGCCTTGGAGAAGAGTATACCTCCACTGATTTTGGGCTTTGTCGTTGACTTGCTTAGCCAATGGGACAATCCACACACAACACAGGCAAAGGTCTAAAAGGCAACAGCTTGCTGGTACAAAGACGAGACTTGCATGGAACAGATCTGGATATAGTTAGCAGTTTAGAGCCACTCAGCTAGACGCTGCCTAAATCTGCTGAGCCCCAGCCATCCTACAGATTCTCGTGAGCTTAGATGAGACCAGCAGTTGCCACAGCTACCCCACAATGCATGAGAAAGACATGTATGTTGTGTGCTGCTGAGATTCTGGTATTGGTTGCTCTATTGCTCACTGATATGATATATCTGGTATCCCAACTAGACTTACAAGTCCATGAAATCTGGAACAATATTTTTCTCTGTATACCCTCCTCCCTATGATGTATGGAGCTCAGTAAATTGTGCCTCACTCTATGGCCGGAGTCAAAAGCAGGACTCCGGGACAAACCCCCATGGAAAGTAGATTCTCCAAGACACTGAACAGTTCCCTGGACAACTCTAGGGTAAGATGTTAAGATCATCTCCCAAATCAGGAAGTACAGAAGGACTAAACATTGACGGCCAAGTACGGTGGCTCATGCCTGTGATCCCAGCACTTTTTGGGGCTAAGGTGGGCAGATCACAAGGTCAGGAGTTTGAGACCACCCTGGCCAACATGGTGAAACCCCAACTCCACTAAAAAATACAAAAATTAGCTGGATGTTTTGGCCGGTGCCTGTAATCCCAGCTACTCAGGAGGCGGAGGTTGCAGTAAGCTGAAACCACACAATTGCACTTCAGCCTGGGCAACAGAGCGAGACTTCATCTCAAAAAAAAAAAAAAAGATATAATATTGATGAAAAGCAGTTTTGGTCTAACTAAAAACTCAAGAGAAACAAAGCAGACCAGTTGTTCTGTATCAAAGATAATCTGGCTGAAGTTCATGTCTGGAGAATGGCAATGAGGAGTGCAGGCTCTGAGACAGACCATTTGGCTCTGTCGCTTCCTAGCTGTGTAACCTTAGACAAATTACTGAAGTGCTCTGTGCCTCAGTTCATTTGTTGGGGTGCAGAACAGTATGGGATTGATAAATATTAGCTGTGTTGGTGATGATGTGATGATGATGATGGTCTACTTTCTTGGCCTTAAAAAGATAATATACAAAGTGATACAGAGTTGTTTCAAAGGCCTACCTCTCTCTATCCAAATAAAGAAATTGCTTCTTCCAAATAAAGACACCACCTCTGAGCTACCATGGTTTTAGAAACCTACCTGATCCTCTTCTCCGCCTCCTTCTTCATCATAGTAATAAACATTGTCCCGGGTGTCATCCTCCGGGGGCAGTAAGGGCTCTTTGACCACGGTTCTCCTCCGAAGAAACAGCCAAGAGCAGCAGAATCAGGACTATGGTGGGGGGTTGTGGGGGAGAGAGATCGAGAGTGTTGAGAGCCAAAGATAAAGAAGGCCAGAAGCAGCAGCTATCACAGAGCACCCCTCATACCAGACAGGGGGCAGTTAGACAGCCACCGGCTACCTTCAATACACTTGAAAATGTCAATCCACGTGACATTCACATCCCTGAAGTTGGTGTGCACAGTGCAAGATAGTAGACAGTGATATGTGAATTCAAGCATGGTCTTTAATTTTCAGATAGGTCTTAAACTCTGTTATTTTCCCAAATCTGGGGGCAACGTGTTCCAGGCAGAGGAAACAGTAAGGGCAAAGGTCCTGAGACAGGAGCATGTTTGGTGTGAAGGAGGGAAGGTGAGGAGGCCAGCATGGCTGTAGCACGGTGAGTGATGGGAAGAAACATCGAGAAGAGCTCAGAGGGACAAGCAGGGTGGGAGGGGCATATGGACCACTGCAAGGACTTTGGCTTTGATTCTGAGATGGAGTCATTGAAGGTTTGTGAGCAGGGCTCCTAGGTCAGCCCAAATGTGACTGATACATAACCAGCTATGAAGAGAGGGATGGAGACTATAAAATTGCCTGGTATGTTCTTATTTTCTCTTAAGATAGAATCATGTAAGTAAGCTTTAAAGTCTATTTAACTCCCAAGGCTTAAGACAAAGATTACATTTGATCTTGCGATTATTTCTACGATATATATAATTAACATTTAACTTAAAAAAAATTTCTGGCCAGGCGTGGTGGCTCACACCTGTAATCCAAGTACCTTGGGAGGCCGAGGCAGGCAGATCACAAGGTCCAGAGATCAAGACCAGCCTGACCAACATGGTGAAACCCCGTGTCAAAAAAAAAAAAAAAAAAATTCTCTAAAGCAGTCAGAAAGAAACCACTTAACTTTAAAAAAATATTATAGTATTCATTGTGAATGAAAAAAAAAAAGATTCCATGTGTTTTCTCTCTATGGGCATGTGTGCCCAAGTACCCATATATGTACCCTATGAAGTATTTTCTTGCTTTATCACCTGGGCTGGAGTGCAGGGACACAATCTCAGCTCACTACAACCTCTGCCTCCTGGGTTCAGGCAATTCTCCTGCCTCAGCCTCCTGAGTAGCTGGGATTACAGGCACATGCCACCATGCCCAGCTAATTTTTTTGTATTTTTAGTAGAGATGGGGTTTCACCATGTTGACCAGGATGGTCTCGATCTCTTGACCTCGTGATCCACCCACCTCAGCCTCCCAAAGTGCTGGGATTACAGGCTTGAGCCACCGCGCCCGGCTAAAAAAATGTATTTTAAGTATAACTACAATCTTTAAGATTCCCTTGCTGGGCACAGTGCCTCATGCCTGTCATCCCAACACTTTGGGAAGCCAAGGCAGGAGGATTGGTAGATCCCACAAGTTTGAGACCAGTCCAGGCAACATGAGGAAACCCTGTTTCTACAAAAAATACAAAAAATTAGCTGGGTGTCATGGCTCATGCCTGTGGTCCCAGCCACCCGGGGGCTGAGGTGGAAGGATCGCCTGAGCCCTGGAAGTCAAGGCTGCAGTGAGCTGAGATTACTCCATTGCACTACAGCCTGGGCCACAGGGCGAGACCTTGCCCCCCACACCAAAAAAAAAAAAATTCCCTTAGAATGAATATACTACTCAGTAATCACCATCCCAAAAGCAGACCAGGCCACTCAAATGTAATTTGATTATGAAGTGGGCTGGCAGGGCTTATGTTACCGTGTGTAAGACAATGATGTATTAACCTAATCTGATGGCACAATATATCCATGTAAAGCCTGGCAGAACAAAAGTCCAGAAAGCTTGCTCGATTCTCAACAGCACTATCCTTCTCTTCAACTTTGGGAGGACACCAGCAGGAAGGGGCAGGAGGACACCAGCAGGAAGGGGCAGAAGGACACCAGCAGGAAGGGGCAGAAGTAAATGGGATGCCCAGCAAACATTTCCGGAACATTGAAAGGCACCCTTTCCCAGAGTCCATTGAATCAGCAGCAGCAAGATCAATGGCACCCATGCCCAACCTAAATTGAAAGCCCTTGATTTGGTCCCACTGCTCCCTCCAAAAATCTTTTTTCATTCCCATCAGCTTGGCCTGGTCTCTGCCCTCCAAGGAGTCTACTCAAGCCTCTGCTGTGCTTTACTAGGAGAGGAACCTTCCTGAATATCCATCTGCCTGTTAGACTTCTACCAGCACCTGTGGCCTAACCACTTCCACCTTCCACAAAACCTTCCTTGAGGCTCAATTAACAGCCTTTTCTGACTACAGTGACTACAAAGCCATTCATGAGCTGGACCACCCCTTATGGTCACTAATTATATAGGATCTTTAAACATTTCTTTAAAAATTTTTTTTAATTAAAAAAATATATTTTTCATTTTTATCTTGTAGAGACAGGGTCTTGCTTTGTTGCCCAGGCTGGTGTCAAACTCCTGGCTTTAAGCAATCCTCCCACCTTGGCCTCCCAAAGTGTGAGCCACCATACCTGGTCAAAGGTTTCTAAGTGACTTGCTATCACTTGCATTGAGAATCATTCACTTGCTCTTCTTTTTTTTTTTTTTTTTTGAGATGGAATTTCGCTTGTTACCCAGGCTGGAGTGCAGTGGCACAATCTTGGCTCACCGCAACCTCCGCCTCCTGGGTTCAGGCAATTCTCCTGCCTCAGCCTCCTGAGTAGCTGGGATTACAGGCACGCACCACCATGCCCAGCTAATTTTTTGTATTTTTAGTAGAGATGGGGTTTCACCATGTTGACCAGGATGGTCTCGACCTCTTGACCTCGTGATCCACCCGCCTCGGCCTCCCAAAGTGCTGGGATTACAGGCTTAAGCCACCATGCCCGGCCCATTCACTTGCTCTTCTATCATTCACATGTTTAAAACCCTACCAGAGTTCTG